CCGCGCAGGGAGGGGGGTGCAACGAGAGATGATCCTCCGTCCAGCGGTCGCAAAGATAAACGTAATATTTTCATTGACGTTTCAATTGAATGAAGATGATTAGTGAACACATTAGATCTGTCTTATGTCAAATTTTAATATAATTATTTTTACTCCTGACAAAAATTGAAATAAACTGTACTCTACGTTACATCAGAGCGACATGGAGTTTTAAGATCTACGGGTAACTAAATTTACGAGTAACTAAGTTAACATCTTAACGTTGAAATTATATAGAAGATGAGATTGCCACCCTTACTTTTAGACGGCTGGAATGATAAACTTATGGCTGCAGTGAAGAGCCATGTCGGATATTCTATTAATTAAATGAGAATCTAAGTTTTCTGACGAATGCGCGAGTGGTGGTGAATTTGAGACTTCGGTGAAAGCTCCCGATGGACGTTCCTGCGGGAAATTCGCTCGCGTCGCCGGTCGAGTCGAGTTCGGAGGACTTTCCAAGTACAACGAACCCGGCCCGATCACTTCGAGCGCCGATGACGTATATCGCCAAGTAGAAAAAGAAACGAGCGATTTCGACGAGCGTTATCGAATCTAGCCAACTAAACTGGTGGCAGACACGCTAACGTAGAACGTAAATTTCGATTGCTCGCGGTGTGATTTAGTCGAATTTGAATACGTAATGATATACGGACCGATGTTTCGAATTAGGGAGTGTTGTCACGAAAGAATAAAGTTCAGGCCGAACGATTAGAGATCGAATCAGATTGTTCGCCCGTTCTTTCATCTATGTTTTTTTACGAGGGCGGCCGATGCGAAACCGACCGCTCCAAAGCGGCACGGTAAATTGCACGCTAATTGGCTAATGCACACACGGCAGCGGATTGTGGTGCGGCGAGGACCGCAAAAATTAAATGAGATTGTTGTCGCGGGGAAAGTTTAATTGGAACCTGTATTATCGTGCTCGGGTTATTTTACGCCACGGCATATCGAAACCATCTCGAAATAATCGCGGAGTATCTGTGGCCCACGCGCTGGTAACACTTGGGATTGCGGTTTGGCTCGAAAAGTTCGAAACTTCATTAGAATCAAGCGTTGTTCTCACCGGTGAGAATCTATATCACCTAGAGAGGCAGAAAGGAAGGAGAAAGAGAGAGAGAGAGAGACTCGTATGCAACTCCCCGACGACGGTGCACTGAACTCTCCCTCGATTGTTCTGCGAAGCGTTGACGTATCTTGAAGTGGAAAAAGGGGACGCATCGCACAGGGGAATATACGAGGGGCGTGAAATGGCCTCATTTCGCAGCCGGAGCCACCGATATAGTATACTGCTTCTTGCTCGCGGATGTTAGATACGCGCGTTCTACCATATTTATCAACGGCAACTTTTGCGTCGGCTGTCGCGACGCTTTCTGTCATCGAGGAGAGCCTGCGGAGCCGCAGCCAGCGATCAATTAACTGCACTGTGCTTTTCGTTCTGCTGAGATACACCTTGCAATATTCGACATTTTATATCTCTTTCCATAAATATAATTATTATATATACATATATGTTTAAAAAAAAGATTAGATGTAATTATAATTTGAATGATTATAATTTTTGCGCACTGATAAAAAAATATTTTAAAGGCTTGGAAGATAAATTTGTTGTGTAAGCTATTTAAGAGATATCAGTGAGATAGAATCATCACGGATTATGTATGAATTTTTTAAGACTTACTCGAATCGATACGTAGAACGAGGTGAGTCTTTCATAAAAATGACTCTCGCAACGGATGTTCTAGAGGTGTGTAGGGCACTATTGCAGAGAAAGCGAAGACTAGAAATAGTATGCTATAAAGCATTCATGCGCGTTCGAGTCCTGGAATAGACAGCGTGCCATCATCGGTCATTCGAAGTTCTTCATCATAACGCGACTTATACGCTGTACCGTTATAAAACACGTCACAGTTTCATTTTTCGATATGAATTTAATTTCGGTTGTGAACGATGTTTTTTTTTTAATATTATATCAGGGCATATGTACATTTTTTTTCGAAGAATCGAAAAAAAAAAAAAATTGCAGTACAGGTGGAAATTACAGCTCGCATATGGAGGAAATCGCATTTTCTTCAATCTTTCGGATCCGAATCTCCCATAAACAAATCGGATTTATGGCTTTCAAGCTTTCCCGATGATGGTCGGGAATATGAATAAACGCTTTCACTTTGAATATCGATAAATACGCATCTCGCGCGCGTGTCCGTTTACGCAAAAAGTCGCTTTTGCCAAGTCGCGTTTGCAATTGCGACCGCGGTAACGCGCGTAAAAACGGTTATCTCGCAACTTTGGCGGCGTGCCGACACGTGCCGCATAGTATCTCCGTTTTTTCTCATTTTTCCGGTCGCTCATTCTATGCGACGCGCATTTGCATATCTCATACTGCAAGTGCGAAATGCACCCTCGCGCTCTCTCTCTCTCTCTCTCTTTCTCTTTCCTTCCATCCCTCGCGTCATTTATTTTCGATTTCGCATGGGAGTCACCCCGCTTTTTCCTAAGGTTACTACGGCGCGGTTTCGCGGAAAATCCGCGAGCGCGACCGGAGGGTGGCTGCTTCTCGAGCGCGCGGGGGATGTTGCGGCGGCGATGGCGACGGCGGGGGCGGGTGGCAGCGCGGTCGTGGATGGGACGTCAAGGGGGTTGCCAACATCGTGCAACGAATAGAGATCGATTCCGAGTCTGGGTCAGGCAAGGGCGTTCACCCTCCGGTGCAGCCCGGGAGACACCCAGGATCGTAGCTAGGCTATCACGGCAGGCGGAGTACTGGCCGGGTGTTGGATCGAGGGGTAGAGAAGAGGGAGGGAGGAGGGAGAGGGCTCGGGACACTCCCTTCTGTTGGGTGCAATGTACGCTCGCTCTCCTCCGTGTCCAAAATCGCTGCTCCGGACTGCCGCAAGCTCCTGCAGCCCCCCGCGACTACCCGAGATGAGGTTCCCGCCGCGATTCCCGTTGACTCTTCCGCGTGTGATTTAACGGATCCTCCTCCTCCGAAAAGAGGAGCCGATCGACGCTCCCGTGCTCGGACGATCGTAGATCTTCCGCTTATCTGAGATTACCCTCTGCTGAAATTACCTTCTTGCGACTGAGGTCTCGCGCAGAGTGAATTGTCGGGAAATTTAAACTTTATTCTTTATTCTTGATGTATAAAGACGACCAACGCGTAGACTATAATGATATAATGATATATCGATGTAATGATTCCAGATAATATCTTTATAATAAAAAATTGCACAAGTTGCTGAATGTAATAACGATGTTATTTTATTTAACTTGCGTGTACTTGATCTGTTAATATATAGCTTATTATTGTATTATTATAGGCGTGCTACAATCCGATTTAATTTCGACTATTATCGAACAATTTAAGATGATTAAGTGATGACATTTCGCGATGTTGCTTAATTTGTATCCTGTCTTTGACTCGATATTCCTATTTGCGCGAGCAATCTGTCCAATTATATCTGAAGGATCCATCTAAAGGATCTTGTAAGTCGGCGAAGTGCGTAAACGTATCTTCCGCTTTAACCTGGCCACCAGGAGCGAGTCCCAGGACGAGGTGAACGATCGCCACAGGGTGGTGGTACGTGACCTTTTGCACGAAGGATAACGGTAGGGATGAGGTGGGGAAGGGGATGGTTTGCGCTATGGTAACGCGGGGGTGAATGCACGTACTCCAGGGGGCTTATCCTGCAACTTTTCGACGCATGCGTTTCGTATTCCGGAAATGTTCGCAATGCGTGACGTCATTGGTGTCGCGTCGGATTTGCGTACTCTCCTCGATTGTCTCTGGTACCGATGAGAAAATCGTGTTTCATAAATAACATCGCGATGTAATTATCAATGCATATGAAAACAGTAATTTTTGGACTGCGTTAATTGTTACGACCGTCGAGCCGTATCAATTTTACATAAACGGGTTATTAATCCGTAATAAATTATAAACTGAAATCATTGAGGTCTACCGTTGCGGCTTTAGTAACACAATGAATTTTCTTGCATTGATGATTAGGACTTCGTGGATATGTATAATCGTATCCTACATGCATGAATATAAATATACAAATCAAAATTATTGTTTTTTGTGGATCATTCTCTTTTTTTGTATTTCTCGTAAAGAGATATAATAATGCATCTTAAAAATATATAATAATAATAATAATAATAATAATAATAATATTAAATACATCTATTTATTATTAGCTTTTGTGTCGATAATTTTTATTTTTAAATGCAGATCTTTATGATATGTTATTTTGTCACTATTAGTATATTCTTTAATATCATTTATGTAAATTCTTACGCTATAAAATATGTAAGAGGTAAAAAGTAAATCAATTCGGCGAAGGATGATCTTTTCAGCATCTATTTGTATGCAATCCAGCGGGCTCTAAAAACGCAAGTGAACCTTTTTTTCAAATAATTACATATAAATATAATTACATATAAATATATTACATACAATTTCATATATATATAACAAATATATTGATGATAAGATGATGATAAGATATCTATTTTATCAAATAGATATCTTATCATGATTATATTAATAAATACAAATTAATAATTAGAAATTGATCGTTATCAACGGGATATTTATTTATTTGCAATAAACAAATAAAATCTTTGATATAAATATAAAAATTTATTCAAGTGGAAGATTGAATATACAAAATAATAAAATATATATATATAATTAAATTTAAAATTCTTTAAATTTCAAATTTATTGAATAATTAATTTCGTCAAATTATTAATTAAATAACTGATTTTGTCAAATTGTTATTTGATATATTGCGTATAATTGTAAGATCAGCAGCTGTGGATAAGTTTCTGTGTTTAGTAAGCAAACCGAGTCCGAGTATTGGAGAACGCTGACTTGACGATTGTAGGTGACAAGCTACACCATTCAGTAGTAAACTAAGCTTACACGAGAGCTATCGTGAGTCGGCTTACTAGTTCTGGTTCTGGATTGAACCTAGTTCTTCACAGTGCTCTGGTAAACGGAATATAATACAGTTCAGTCGAAGAGTGTTTGCGGGTTTGATACTTTTGATCTGTTAGAGAAAACATCTAACGAATTATGACTGTTTGGCTTGGAGTAGTGCTTGTCGCGTTTGTCTTAATTATTGCCCTCTTGATGATTAAACAATTTTTCTGGAATCCACGATTAAAAAGCGTAAAGAACAAGCATGTTGTGGTAAGTGTGTGTCATTTAACCTCGAAAAACTTATTCATATAAATATTATAAAAAAACAAATAAAAACGAGCTAATTAGACGAATGTGAAATTAAATATCGCGAAAATAATAAAAATTATAAAATTTTTTCTAATTCAATGAATTTATCAAGATGTTTTGATCTTACATTTCGAGTCACCTTCAAGAATAATAAACACAAAGAAAATGAATCATACAATACAAAGAGACACCATATATGTACATAAAAAATCTCGACCTCGATTTCCTGATTTGGCCTGTTTATTTCTTGTATTGTAATCTAAAGCCTTGATCTCCTTAGTTGACAGTATGAAAAAAGAAAGAATCAGATTATATTATTAATAATATAATTATTTACAGAGATTTATATTATATTAATATAATTATATAATAATATAATTGTTTATAGGTGACTGGTGGCTCGAGCGGCATCGGAAAGTGTGTAGCAATTATTGCTGCAAAACATGGAGCGAATATCACGATAATTGCGAGAGATGTGCAAAAATTAGAAACAGCTAAGAACGAAATATTGCACGCTTGTGAGAACAAAGATGCACAAAGAGTAGAATATTTGTCTTTGGATATCGGAGCAAATTATGAAAATGTCGAGAAAGCACTGGCCGATCTCGAGAAAACCATGGGACCAATTTACATGCTCGTTAATTGTGCGGGTACCGCAATTCCCGGTAAAATAGAGGACACCACCGCGGACAGTTTAGACAAAATGATACATATAAATTTGCTCGGTACATACTATTGCATAAAGGCAGTCGTGCAGAGAATGAAAGCTTCCAGAGAAGGAGTGATTGTCCTAACGTCATCTCAAGCCGCCTTCTTAGGTATTTGCATAGATATTCCATTAATATTCATTGTTTAAATAAGCAATAAATAAACAAGAAATTGCGCATCGAGCAGGTATCTTTGGCTACTCCGCTTACTGCAGTACGAAATTCGCTCTTCGCGGTCTAGCAGAAAGCATAGCGATGGAATTGCGGCCATACAATATCTCTGTGACCCTGTCTTTGCCGCCTGATACAGACACACCTGGGTTTGCTGTCGAAGAGCTGTCAAAACCGCTGGAAACGAAACTCATATCACAATCGTCGGGATTAGTCAAACCTGACGTAGTCGCCGAGCAGCTTTTCAAGGATGCTCTGGTTAGTATGTGAAAAATAGCGAATTTTTTTCTCGTGATGCCCTTTATTGTTCAATGATAACGTATTGCAGGCAGGTAAATTCTTCTCTTTCGTCGGTGTGGAAGGTTTCCTTCTGGTAACATTGTGTGCAGGAATATCGCCGTTCAATTCAATCTGCGACCTATTGTTGCAAGTATTGTTGATGGGTCTATTACGGATCGTTGGCGTTTTTCACCTCGTCTTCTTCGACAAGATCATACTCAATTGCATGAAAACGCGTGATAAAAATAAAAAATCCGAGTGAAGATTTCTCTCGTATTTATAATTACCGAGCTGACATTAAGGCGAGATTATTTTTTTATTCCAAACCAAAGCATTTAATATAATTTCAGTAAATCTTCGCATACGATATGATCGACATGTGATATCATTGACATTTGCATAATTTATTTAGATTTATACGTGACGTCTTCTCAATGAAATCTTTCGTTTTCTCCATAACTTGGAAGATTATTGTAACAATATATATATATGTATGTTTTGAGAAAGAAATAAAGCACATTCTTAACGCTTTTGCTTACTTTTTTATTAGATATCCCGTAAGTTCATAGTATAATGTTTTTTTTTCTTTTATTAAGCTTTATGATTCTTACACACATAGAACGGGACCGTTCTTCGTCCCACTTCGCCACGATAGTTTAAAAACGGAAACGCTGAAACATTCGTATGTGAAGAGTACTCCCATAAGACGTGGACGAGGCTCCATTCGGCGACGATCGCGTCCGCACGTTGGTAAAAGACCAGAATCGTGCTCGAGTTGCTCTCTCTAACGCATAATAAATCTCTCGTCGCGTTCGCGTAAAATCTGAAATCCGAAATCCTACAATTGTACCGTGCAATCGCGGTCGCCGATTGCGAACGCGTCGCGTCCAACTTCCTAAACTCAACTTATGCGTAGAAACGGCGGTCAACGAAGATTTGTGTCTCTCGAAATTGCGAAAGTTCGATAATGATGGGTTTAACATTGATTTATTATCTCGCTCTCGCTCGCTTTCTATCTCACTTTCTCTCTCGCTCTCGTTCTTTCGCTCGTTTGCACTTCATATCGCGCATATTTTTAACTCTCGCTCCGTTTATCCCATTCGCTCCGGTATTCTTCGTCCTTTCCTCGGCATCATCTCGTGGATTCGTTAAAGTCTATTTTTTTCTCATTAACCCTTAAAGCGCTTAAGGTGTACAGATGCGAATCCATGAGACGAGGCTCGGCTTCGAGGAATATCTTCAGAGTGTTTTGCTGTTTTTTCTTCTTTAAAACTTACGATTAACTTTAAATCGATGTCCGCTTATCCGCGCGCTCGACAAATTCTGTCTTCTCGCTTAGATTTCCTCACTTTTCTCAATCTAGTTTTTACGGCTAAACGGTCGCAAATCACCTTCGTCGAACGTTCGAATCGGCAGACATGTTGCGTTAACGATTAATTAGACCCCTTACTACAGTGTGATCTGTCGCGTGCTGTCAACCAAACGCCCGTTAACGTAGGACCTCATTTTAACGTTAAAAGGACGTTGTCGAACTCAATTGCTCGCAATTGATTTATTGAAGCTCCTGATTTACGATCTCTCTTATTCGCCTGAAATAATTTTCACGTAAATAGTTTGCTAAAGATACAAAGAAAATAATTCATCGATAACGTAATGCTCGTCGAATCGTATTTTCGGGAGCTTCAATGCTCGTGTGCAATAATCGCATAATTGCATGATGCGTTTTTTCGCGAATGTCATCAGTGACGCGTTAACGAAGTATCCGCCGTCCCGAGGGTGTCGATCGACGACAAATAATTCTCCATTCGCTCTTTTAACCCTCCACGGCCGAGAATAAAAGTCCTCGCTCGGACAAAGAAGCTAAACCATTTTACACAGAGTACTGTATTCCTGGATAAAAAATTTGCATATATTAAGATTAAAGATCTATTACATTTATATTTGAAGAGAGAGAGACTCAGGTCGTTCGCGCTTTCAGATAAAAGCAGTAGAGGGTTAAAATCGCAAATCATCCTTTTACATATTTTCAATCATTATACAATTTTTACAGAGCTATTTTTAATGTTCGTCTAAAAAGCTCCCCGACATTTCGTTCCGTCGCCAGGTTTGAAATCGATTTCCGATGACCTGTTTCTTTCTCTCTTTCTCATCTGCAGAATCCGCGTAATCGATTTACGGGCGGGATGTTTTCCCCCGTCTTGAGCAAAAGCAAAAAGAAAAGAATTTTGAAATCGCTTGATGGCGCGGATGGATCACGATAGGAATTGAAATCCCCGCGACTGATAGAGACTTATTTCTCTGGGTCACCGCGTTTAACCCGTCTTTCATCTTTCCGATGACGACGTATCGCCCGAACGTGAAACATCGCTCGTATATAGCTTACTATCTCGGAATAACATCTAACTCGTGTTAGCTACGCGTAAGAGCACATCGACTACTGTCAGGACGGTCACAAACATCACTCTTGAGAAACAAAGTATTCAACTTCGTGGATTCGTACCGCGACTCTCGGGAATCGGCGCGCGTTTCTGCGTCGACTGGGCGCGGATTGATCGGAGAAAATTCTTAAGACTCCCGGATCCGCATCGATTCTTTACGAGTCTCTACGGGTTTATCTCACGTCAACCGTGAAATGCGAAAACTTCATTTACGATACGAACGCGTTTATCGCGCGCGAGGAAAGAAGGATTCGTATAATCGTAATAGCGAAGATCCGGGAGCTTTAATACGATCGAAGATCTTGCGGAAGAAAGGTACCTTTAGCAAGTTTTCTTCGTTCTCCAACAATATATGTTTCGACAAAAATCAGAAATAAATATAACAGATAAAGCCCGCGATCGGCAACGTCGAACGGAAAGAAGTATACGCGACACTTAAGGACTACAATAGATTTTGGTACAAAAATTCAATGCTGTTCTACATTAGAATTAGATTTTAAGACGACGTTTCAATTGAATTTCTTTTTCGTCGTCCCGCCGTCTCGTTATTTTCTTCTCTTTAAGTTACCTCTTCTTTTTCGCAGGGAAGCAAAGGGGCCTCGGGGATGAGCGCGGAATTGCGTTTCTTCTTCCACCCCGCGAGGGGGAGGCCTCTGTCAAAGCGAGAAAAAGGAGGGCCGCGAAGGACTTAATCGCGGCAGCGGCCTCGCGCACAACATTATTTTCAGATCTTTTCATTCTGTGTGATACTAGGGAGCCTCGCGAGGCGCGGGAAGAAGAACAGGCGGAAACGATATAAGGAGGCACCGCATCCCCGATCGACCCTTTTTATCTTAAAATGTGTCATTCGACCAACGCCTTGGTACGCGTCAGTCCAACGAACTTCTCTCAATATACGCGTTTAGATGTGCGTGTGTATACGTGTGTGTACGTGAGTGTGTGTGTGTATATCTCTGCGTATATATGCATGTGGCTTATTTTCTCTCTCGCTTTCTCGCACCCTTTCACGCCGTTTTTCTTTCAGTCTTTTCGTCGCAAACAGACTCACGCACTCTAAAGCCGTACGTTCGCATCCGAGCCGCGTGGCACACAGTCGTTCGCGCATACATTCACCCCGCCTGGCTATTATGTCCGACAATATATCTGCATTTATATCCATTAGTTTTCCCTTACGCTAGGCATTAATTAGTGTGTTACATCTAGTCGCGTGTGGCCGGCCCGTGCTATCCACGAGCGCGCTCAAGAGAAACGTGAAAGCGTTCCGCTTTCTTTTCGCACTCGGACGCACCGGCGTGCCATGGAAAAGCGTGCGCGCCGGTGCTCGCGTTCCGTTTCCGATCCTCGCGTCACTCTTTTCCGTTAATCTCTGACGACTTGAAGCTCCGATGATCCGAAGCTCGAAGAATCTATCGCGCATAGCGCGACGAGGCGCGTCCGTTTATAATAAAAAAAAGTCTAGGATTATCATTATTGTTATCCCCGAACGACGCGCGAAGATCGTATCCTAGTTTCCACGTTTCGATCACGAGATACCCGCGAATGTTCGAATGGAAATGGAAGTCTCGGACGATTTTGGAGAACATCGTATACATATATATACGCGCGGCATCTTTTTTTTCTTTGTTTTTTTTTTTTTCGATCGAGAAAATCTCCCTTCTCGTCTTCTTCTTCTTCGATACCGTGCGTGATTCTCGAGCCGGTTAGCACAGGCGGCCAGACCCATTCCAATGCGTGTGTGTTTTACGATCCGAAAAATTACACAGTAACGTTATTTAGTTTATTTTTTTTCTTGTTTCTTTAGTGTGTAACACGTACGGCATATCATTAATTAACGTTACGTTATTTATATGCTATATTATGTTATTTACAATCACATGAATCGTAGATATTCTAACGAATCGTTCGTCTCCTGCCGGTGTCCTCGTGTTTTACGATGTATATTTCCGTCTCTCTCTTTTCTCCCCTCTCCCGCTCTCTTTCGTGCCTCTCGTATATCTCTTCAGGACTTTCCTCCAAAAATTGCCTCAACGAGAACTTACGCCCTATTCGCTTTATATGCGCCCCTCGTTCGTGCGAGCTGAAACTTGTTCAATATTCAACACCCATGTGCAACGTATTTGCGCGCGTACACATATACATATATATATTTCTGTTCGTTTGTATATATATATTTATATATATATATAGATTTATTTATATTTATATAATATTATAAAAAACAGTATATTTCTTCTAGTACTTGCGAGAAGAAAGCAAATCGCGGGGGGGGCGCGTGGGCACCCACCGGAAAGCCGTACGCTCGTTCGCTAAATTATACAACCGATCATGCTCAGAGGCAGCACGCCGCGGGCCAAAACCGTGAAATTGTGAAAGTACAGGAAATATTATCAAAAGGTAATTATCGAAAGTAGTCCGCCTATTATTAAACATCTATGATATATTCAATGATTCATAAAAAAAAATCCGTCGAAAAGGAATCAAAGGAGGACTTAAAGTACATATAAAACTTGTATAGATTATATTATAGGTGTATTTATAAATCCTTTATGTAGAGCAAATGTCATCTTTAGGTCGTAAATTTGAATAGACGTTTAATAGAGAAACGGCTATCTTAATTTCGATAAATTTTTGAAGAAAAAATACAAATTTTATATCTGAATATTAAAATCTCTTTGAAATGTGTATATATAAATTTTCGTCTACATTTCTAAAAAATCTTCCAATTTTATATAAAAATGCGATATTTTCATGGAATGTAAATACGCAAATGAACAATGGATAAGTGGAAAATGTATCGGTTTGCACGGCCCACGTCGCGGTAAATTAGTCTGTGCATGCGCGGACGTATGATATTATTTTGATCGGCGTGTGTATACTCAATGCGCTTTAATACTAAAATATTGATCACGGATCGTCTGAAGCCACTTGTCGCTTTTGAACAAGATTAAAATAGGGGCAGTGATAATTTCCATCGCGACATCTCGTGCGGCCTTTCGTTCTCTCTCGGTCGATGAACCTTAAATAAAAATTATCCATATTAAAATAATAATTCTTTCCGTCTATATATATGTATTTTGAACGCGTCTTGTGCTGAAAATATCACGCGACTAATTTGAATTTGATATGGCAAGATATCGCTTGATATGAATTCTTTTCTTCGGATCAAATATAACCATTGTCGTGCTGTTAACATTAATAACATTTTTCATCTTCCAATCGTTTTGCGTATAGATCTTTCTATTTTTCTTGGGTTTGTTTTACAAACCAGGAACAGATCAGCTGATCGATAAGTTGAAAAAGATTCTAATCGCTCTTTGAGCTATGCCGACAAATTATCTAATTGTAAGAGACAATGGCCGAGATTGCTTCAATCTCAGGACGATCCTAGATCATGCGATTGACGTCGAGTATAGACACGCTTTTTATAATCGGTCGCTATCGAATATAATAAATCACATCGCATTTCGAAAATTCATCGAACAAGTTTCAATTCTATTCGAGCGGCGCGGACGAAGTTTTTCTGTTTTTTCCCATTCTCATAACGGTTCTTTTTGTTGTCGTCACTCATTGACGTTCTTTTTCCCCCTTTCTTTCGCTTTTCAGTCCTACATATATTTCTCGTCACATTATCGCCTTCTTGTAACAGGCGCTACGAAACTACCCAACGCCCTCGCGACAAGATCTCGCGATCGCGATCGTTTTTAGAGCGCTTTTTTTTAGATTTCGTAACATTCTATTTTGTCGGACTAACACAAACGGGAAGTACGTGAAACGATTTTGCAAACGTAAAAGTACAAAGGCGAACGCATCTTTGGAGAAATATATACGAATAAACTTCATTAAAGCGATATTTTAGATAAAGTTTCTAAAAAATATATTACAAGATTAGAATAAACAGCTTTATGCGTGCGTAAAATTATCACTTTATTCGCGACCCTTACTGAAAATTCTTAAATATGTCCACGGACCACCCGTTTGTTTTATTCCAACTCGATCTAATTTATATCTTCGTCAAAAATTTCATAGCTTCTCCAGCATGTACAGTTCTCGCAGCAATTTAACAAGAATTCATATAATTAACTAAGTCCTAATTTCTAACGGCCGGATCACTGTCTCGATAATCGAGATAAACCTCTAACTCTTACTTCGCGCGAGAAAAAACATACTATCTCCAGAATCATTATTATTTGCTCTTCCTCTTTCTCTCTCTATTGTTTTACCTTCCTTCTTCTTAATCTTATCAGCTTCGCCCTTTTTGTTTCTGATCTCGGGAAATCAGTCCGCAGTCGAGGATCTCTTTTCTCGAGGTAGTCGGGGTCTCGTAGCAGGAGATAATCGATTATACGCGTATACCATCCTTGCGATCTTGCCTGATTATCGTTCCGTCGCAAAGTAAGATGGATTTTTCGAGTAGAGAACCATAAGGATCAGAAGAACGAGGACGAACGGGCGGCTGCCGTGGCTCGAGTATAATGTTACCACTCCTGCCAGCCACCACAGAGTGGGACAACCACCCGGCGCTGAACTGATGCCTCTCTGAATTGCGGCGGGATGTTCCCCTAGAAAAAAAATGCCCGATGTATTTGCATCGCGAAACAACAATGGACAGAAGAGTAAAGTCAGCCATGAGAATTACGATCCATATTCATGCCGCGCAATTGTTACATCTCTCATTTTTTAAGCGTTTTATAAAAGTCTGTTCGTGCGTATTAAAAAAGTACGACAATGCATGAATTACATACGACAAAAGTTTACATTTTTAGAAAAAGTTCGGAACTCTGCCTTGTTTTAATTTTAATTTCTACAATTTCTACATATTTTTTTTCTCCCCGAAGTGAGAGATAAACTATTACATACTCACCGTTTAGCACGTGCAGCTGCACGCTCGCGCTATCCAGGTTACTCGGGCTGCAAGTATAGTTACCCGAGTCCTCTCGTCTCACGTTGTGAATCACGAGGCTGCTCACCGTGTCTTGCTCGATCCTCTTCGTCTGAATATCGATTTTGCCCAGTTGATAATTTAGAACACGATCACCCTCGTGGTACCAGAAAACATAGAACGGGCCCTCGAGGGACTGCTTTATCACGCATCGTATTGCGACTGTACTTCCGGTCTTCACGTACATATCACGATCCCCCAAGATCTCGATCTTTGGCACTGTAATATGATTTCGATTATTTGATATTTCCCTTTTTTTATTAAACCGATGAATAATTAGCTTATAAAATCCTCGCTCGACTCACCGACGATATTGAGCTTGATGATGTGACTCTTCTTCGGGTCGGTCGAGATTTGGCACTCGTACTCGCCTTCGTCGCGCGCTTGGACATATTTCACTTGCAGCGTCCACGTGTCCGCCTCCCCGAAAATCGCCTGGAACCTTTCGTCCGGAATGAACATGGTTCTATCCACCGAGAGGATATGCGAATCTCTTCTTCTGATCCAGGAAACCTTCAAATTGGCCGAAATTAATTGCTATCTTAAATCAATCTTTCACATTAAATTTTTCATACATATAAGATCTTTTTTATAATCCCTTGACAATATTATTAATCTCAAGTTTAAATTTTATTAACTTGCCTTGAGATTTTTTTCATTTTTTTCTCCTATTTTTATTACAAAACAAACATTTTTAAGAATCTTCTAAACACATCTGAGATCCTTTACTCTCGTTTTCATCAGCCTTCATTCTTTTAATCAGATTAACTTGAACTCAGAATCATCAGCCTGTCGCCAATCATTATTCGCAATTGAGTGGGTATCGAGAGAGGCGGAAAAAGTTGAGGTTGCGTATAAAAAGCGCGGCAAGTATAAGAAGCAGCGGCAAGATACGGCGAAAAAAAATGAGAAAGGTTACATTCCACTTGTTCCGATTCCGGACGATCAATCTTCCGCTTGCCCGTCGCGTAGTTAATTTATCGTTCATCGACCGGACGGCTCGCGCGCGCTCGACGGAAATCTAGATGGTGCACAAATACGACAGCGGCCCGTGCCGTCGAAAAACGAAGGTGAAGTACGAATACATTTAATTCACCGACTATGATAAGGATCAAGGTGGCGACGGCGACGGTGGTGGCCCTTAAGTACGCGCTGGAATTATACGAGAGTCGCGTGTTACCGGATACTTAATCCCCGACCGCGTGTCAATAGACGACAGGTGTACACCCTGTATACTCGAGTATTCGTCTGCGTACACGTTGGAGAAGTTCGTTAACAAGGGACCACCTTTGAGCGTAGTCTGCGTGCTAACGGGAATTACGCGTCCGATGACGACCACCCTGTAAAACCACCCCACCCTTCGACACGAGTTTCCGATTTCACGATGCGGGTTACGAGAGCGTGCAAAAAGGCCGGACGAAACGCGAATCATTAACAGATTGGCGTTTTATTAGCGAGATAAATTGATGCGACGATGGGAATCGCGATCGCAATTCACGATTTAATAGCCCGAGACACGTGGGCGGGTTATCTGTCGCGAATAGTTATCCGTCACGGAAAATGGGACGAATTTTGCGCGATAACAGTTATGAAATATTATTAATCATATCGTTGTAATTTATAGACCATAGAATATATTTATAGACTTTTCATAGAACCGATTACGAGCTGCCCAAGGTCGGTATTTTTTTTCGAAATGTTAATGAAAAAAATTAATGAAAAAAAAATGAAAATTAATGAAAATGTTAATGAAAAAAATTGTAGGCAACTAAAATAAATTCTATTCCTTTTGTGTACCGATCCTAATTCTGAGAGAAGTTGATATTAATAAAATGGAGATGGAGATTTGTGCATTCGTGTAAATAAATTAGGTTGTTTAAAATTAAGTTGAAGAGAGGCGAAGAAATTATATCCAATAAGATGGGAACGACGTTGTTGTCTTTCAAACTCTATTTCGTGCTCGCTTTAGTTGTAATAATTATGTGTTTCTTTTAATGTCCTTGTTATCGTGTCTCAAATAGAGTTCCATCGTTAGAGAGCTGTCAGACAGAAATTTCGCCATCATCGCGCCGATATCCGTCAAATAAGCTCGTTAATAAATCAAACTGTCAATACACGTAACATATGAGACAACACCCTCGGCCTATTAAAGATGCGGGAGACGATATGACAAGAGCAAATTAGGTCTCGGTTCAAAGGTGCCATGACAATTGTATCGATATGTATGAATCCCCATGTTACCTTTACATAAACTAAAGATAGTAATCTACGTATATACGAAATATAAGACGTAAAAACTTCTGTAAGCGTCTCGTGCTATTAAGACATTAATTTGTACGCTTGTCAGAAAAGTTGAACATATCCTGAAATGTTTATTCCTGACGCTTACAGTTTTTCTGACAGGTAGATTTAATTATATGAAGCAACTTACTGATTTGTTACCAAGCTGCCGCACTTTGCACGGTAGATAAGCGTGAGTGCCCAGCTGCGCTGTGATATTCGTTGGAGTGTTCGAGTCAAAGTAAGGCCCCGTGTAAATCCCGTCGAACCTCTTCACCAACGAATGAGATCTCGTACTCACCCCTGCAAAAATCCCTGGTCTCAGATAAAGTGTCTCGCGTGTATTCGTATCGTGGCGTGCGACCACAAGACGGAGAAACTCGGGCGCAATGCGGAGATACAACGGAAGTATGCATGTACATAGATATTCTTTGGGCGAAGCGAATCGCGAATGCGTGGACTGCGCGATTTATCAGCGTTGCATTCTTAAAACGTCCGTATAATTTCGCCCGCATCACCGTCGCACAAACACGTTATGCGGCAAATTAACATGGAAGGTATGACGTTAGCGTCGCAATGGAATAATAAAGCCGAGGCGGACTTCCTCGAGGAAAGGAGAAGAGACTATTCCGCATTCGTGCGCTGTATTCGTTCGCTCGTGCGCGCTATTCGGAATAAATCCTATCGCGAGGACTCCGCCAACGTGCCAACCCCGAGGGAAATGGATACTAATCTCGGGGATTTCGATTCCGGGGAAATCTAAAGGCGGATCAGCACTCGGTGAGAGAAAGAGAGAGAGACATGGGCGTCTTTCCAACGACCTTGACGATATCACATCCGATCTAATGCTCGATCGGAGAACGCGCGAGATCCCGTGGCTTCTCACCCGTTTCGCATGAACATTACACGGGCATGATCGAAAAAAACGATTGTCTAACAAAAAATAAAAAATGATATCGTGAATCACGAAAGAATATTTCGCGTACAGGAGGACAAGTGGTTGACTAAATAAATTGCATCTGCAAAAATTCGAAATGTGCTCTTCTATTGCAAATTTGCTAAATAAATTTTTTAGCATTTAGTTTATTTTATTTTTATTTCAATACGTTGATTACACATTAATTTATTATTTTATTAATTAAGTAACAAAACTGAGGATTTGTAACTGACGTTATTAATTCCTTCGAGTCGTTTAAATTACATAAGACGCAAACATGTGTCGTTATCAAGATTTGTTGAAACTTTGACAAACAACAAAGGTATATTGATAATTACGCTTAATTAAGATCACGAGTGCGATAAGGGCATGATAAGGAATAAATATGAAATCGCTCGTATACGATGCAAGCCTCGCTCCAGACGGCTTATCGCGCATCGATTGTTCTACTTATGCGCAAGAAAATCACAGCCGCTGCAACGGCGTTAATTATTGTTTCAGTCAAGTTAAATGCAGGGTAATGAATCATGAATTTATCTTGACGAACAATCGGCGAGCTAAGATAAACAAAGGGGGGTAGAATTTTTGACTTGTTTTTCAAACAAGCTTTTTCCCTCATTTTTATTATACAAATAGAAATTTAAGATAACACATGTAATAATTCTAACGAAAAAAAAATATATAAAGATTCTGAAATTATATTTTCCTCAAGTTTATCATATTTAAAGGGAAAAAACTTTTCTATTTTCGTATCTCGCTCGAGAATTAATCAGATTAATTTTCACTTATGATAAAAAGAGTGACTCGCTTCTTTCTAATAGAGAAATCATCAATAATTCCGGAAACGTTACGAGTATATCCTAGTGATTTCGTAGCCGACGAATCCATCCGCCCGACACGTTTCCGTAGGAAGGGCGCCTAGATTGGCAATCAGCGCGCGCGACGACGAGCGTTGTATTGTCAAATGCGTCGTAGATACGAATTCGCATCGAGACGAGGCCTGTTATCGGTTCTCCTCTCGCGCAGTCGATCCTGTCGATCTTGAGGAACGTGAAATCTGCGCACGCGCCTCGCGGTTAAGCCCTCTCTCGAGTCGAGATCATTTGCCTACCGCGAAAGAGGGCACGAATGCCGTAGATACGCTAGATGCTGTCTACGTCATCCCAAACGTATTTTTCACGTCGACGTGCGGCGGACCGAATTACGCGGAGATCGCGATAGTTGCTCGGGGGTGCGTAATAATCGCGCTTATCTCGAGATTAAATCAGGGAGAGAGAGAAACACTCCTCGCGGGCAGAGGTAAAACGGATAACACGCGGCATAGATATGCATCGTGTTGCGAAACGTGTAATTTCGCAATGTAATAGTCCAAAGCAAGCTCTTTCATTAATGAGTAAATCGAATGCGTTTATGTATGCGTTGGGCGTGAATGCGATGACGAGCGTGGGCGCGACTGGCAGGTGCATTATTCATGTCAACGTTTTGTAAGTCGGATCGCACGACCCTGTCGCACAATCTCGCGAGGGGTGCGTGGAAATCACGTACGCCCCGTTTATCGGAGATTCCGATAAAAACTGTAAAGGTCGGACGATAATACGATATTCTCGCGGTCATGTATTACATTTAAGACTGCCGAAATAAAGCGTTGTATTCGGAAAGCGTATAAAACTTTGATATTTCGATCAAGTACGCTCAAGTAAAATCGCTTCGACTATCGTCAAATTCGTTTATTTTTTACGAAATTCGAAAGAAAAACAATGAAATAAAAAAATAAATGTACGAGAAAATCTGTCAGAGTGAAAACTATTATAGAAATCTGGGGAAACGCGGCTCTTCGTAGATCTATTTCATTTTGCGCAACAATAAGTCGCGAAGGTGACTTGTCTCCCCGCTGTGTAATTGAGCGTGGTGGAACGTGATCGCGAGAAGGGACGAAGGAGGGACCAGAAGAAGTAAATTTCTCGGAAACAGAAGACGAATCTAAAATCGTATATATTTCCCGAGAGACAAAGCTAGCCGATGTGCAGGGCGACTCAAGCTGCGTCCGGGAGGGCTGGTGTTTCCTTTCCCACTTTATCAGAGCGACACGTACGCATGCCCGTGCAGTTTTACGACGTCATCGTGTACTAAACTGCCACATAAATCCCAGTTTTTAGCTCCTGAAAGATTATTTCCCTCCGACGCGTGACGTGATTTTATAATAACTCTCGACTCGCGACGGCCTTATATTGAAATATTCTCGTAACGTGCGAGATCGTATTAATCCTTTCCCTTGTGCTAAGAATAATTTAATGTCACACGCGAGAGTCCGGCATTTTGTATGTAACAACCTTTCTTTCGTCTATAATTATAATTTAGATGTAAAATAAATATAAATTTCAATGTAAAATAAATACAGATTTGAGTAAAAAATAGAATAAAATATAAAATTTATGTGTTATTATTAAGAATTATATAAATAGGAAGCGCTGTTGTTTCCTCTGTTCTTCTTGATCTCTTCTCGATGTAGTTTCTCCGAATGAGGCTCCCAACAATGCCGAAGTCCTATCACGTTTTACGCAAATGTATTTTGCGCATCCAAAATGACCCTTCTCGAGCGCGGTTTCGCTCGTGCAACGTCTCGAGTCAGTAGTTTAGCCCTGAGTTGTGGCAGCCGCGTTGATAGCGCGTCGAACTTCTCCATTTCCGGAGAACGAGCGAAACGGCCCGCGGTTAATCACCGGTGAGGTATAATCAGCGATTGTGTAGGAGCATGCTCTGGACGTGTGCACGTGTATACATGTGAGTACTACGGATCGAAAGCGTATAATATATCGTCGAGGTGATGCCGGGATAAACTCGCCATTACTGGGTCTGAACTTCTCGTAGTAGCTTCTCGTAGTCGAGAGTAATTAGTGTACTTTTCAAGTGGTTTACTCGAGAGAAACTACACTGGTACTCGAGTAAATTATTCAACGAGCTGAACCGATTGCATCGACAGGAACGATAGTGTCGATGGACTTTCCAGGCTACGAAAGGCGGGCGAGGTCCATGGTGATAATCCGATTTTATCGACGCTTCGGATTTTCCGCTCACGCTCCGTTACTCCCAGAATTGATTATGCCTCGTTGAAGAGACAGGCCTGCGAGCGAGGTCGCTCTTTAAGCAGATATTCTTCTGCGAGTGATTGCGTCACTCGTGGTTAAGCGTTTTTCGAAGTCACTCGTATCTGCGTCTATTCAATTTAGAAATCCTTGGTCTTTCAAAATTAATCCTGCACTTTGTCTCTCTCTCTCTCTCTCCTTTTTTTCTATCAAGATAAAAACTCCTACCCTTTGCTAAAATGATCTTCAGGGTGAATCTTACAATTAGAAAAACAAAATGCATTTGTACGCGAAGAATAGTCCTGATTGTTTTACAAACTGTCGAAGAGAGTTTGTCCCTTTCGACAAATTTGCTCCAATTCATGTTTAAAGAAGGGATGCCGAGTTGCAGCCCGCGGCTGGTCTATCTCGTAAAGACGTACGTATGTACGTCCTGTCATCCATAAATGGATTATCCAGACACGACGCTGTAATGTTTCTGTTCCATGAGTAGACTTTAAAACGCGACCGCATCGCGATGATGCAGCCGCGCGAGATGAAATCGATAGACACGTCCCTGAACGACGTCACGGGGGAGAAAAGGGGGGAGTCGTTCGTCTCCCCTCTCATCCTCATCTCCGTCCGATGATGGAATCATCGAGACGACACGCAGAGATCCCGCAGGGACGGGCGGAGAAGAGGCTGACAAAGAAGAGAATGTTAGGAGCAAGGGACAAAAGAGAGACGGAAAGAGAGACGTAGGGAGACCAAGGGTGGAGGGAGGTACAATGCTGCGGCGCGACAAACAAGGGTGGCGCTAGATACGGTCCTGGACCGGGACCGGAGGTTGCGTCCCCTCCTCCCCCTGCCGTTCGGAGTTCTCGCTTCCGTCCTTTCATCCTTATCTATTCTCGAGTATCATCTCTCCTCCTACGCATATCCGTGGTTCGGTTTAAGGGAGGTTAGCGGGAAAAACGCGGCGCGCACGAGCACCGCGTACGCATCCGGACGATGCATGTGGCATACGAGAGGAGGAGAGCGAGAGAAAGAGGGACAGATGTATGCAACGTATCGCTACACCCCAAAATCTGATCGATCCATCCGCGGCACGAGTGCCATGGAGCCCCACCTCCCCGCAAATCCGTGCGACAACATCGACGGCTTGATCGCAAACCTACCCTTACGTGCGACAAGAATACCGCAGCATCCTCTCCCTCCCTCCTCCCCCAGAGGCATCCTCCTCTTCTGGAACCATAACCTGCCGCAACTGATATTTTCACCGCCATTTGTTTCGCGGAGTAATGTGTATGTTTTCGCCGCGCGATTGACAGATGGAGAAACTTCGAGGCTTACCGGTAATACCTAGTAGGATCCAGCACACGAGGCATAGGACGTAGTAGTTGACGTAGGAGGACCTCCTCATGATGATCACGACAACAACAACGATGACGACGACGACGACGACGACGTAACTGTCCCTGGATCCACTGACATCTCATGAAACACCCCCGTGCATCCCCTTCACCCGGTGCTTTCTCTGCTTAATAATCATCCGTCGTCGTCCCGTTCATCTTCCAGCTTGATGCTACCAGGAATCGCGCATACTCTCGCGTTATCCGTCGTTGCAACCCCCTCGTTGCAACCTGTTCGTCGCGCACTCACCAATCTTTCCTCTTTCTCTCTCTCTCTCTCTTCTCTTCTTCCTTTCTCTTCTTCCTCCTCTTACACTATGATATCACATTATCTTGCCGTTGGATACTCCGCCGAGCGGATATCTCATCGAACGCAACCGACGGTCGAGTTAATCAGTCTGGACGAGCGAAAAATTTATCGTATCCCGCTGCAACCGATCCGGAAGAGCACCGGATCCTCCTTTTACTCCAGAGAAGGAGGACGCAAAGTGTCGCGCGCACCAAGGTCACGAAACGGTCTGCCTCGGCGTTCACAATCGGCTCTCCCCCCTTATCTTTTTTTACCCCCGATTGTTACTCCTCGTTCCGTGCGGACACTCGGTATACCTCGAATCGGTCGGCAGTGATTGCAAAACGCGACCGGGGTTTCCCGCACTCGGCTCGTCCGCGGTTTGTCGTCCCGGGCGAAGCTCTGAAACCGCCGGGCCTCCGGTGGCACTGCCCGCGCCCGCCCGGGGATTCCGCGCAGGCGTGCTCTCTCCTCTCTACTCTACTCCGGCGGCGATCCGTCAGCCTCCTCCTTCCTCGAGGCCTTCTGCCTTTTCCGCCGCCGTCGCCGCCGCCGCCGCCGCCGCCGCTTTCCGCTCCCCCGCGCTCCGGTTTTGCGCGCTTCATTCCGCGTCGCGCAGCTTCACCAGCGCTTCACCCGCTCCAAATTTTTCTTCCCGCTCTTCTCATCTCCTTCGGGTCTCGCGCCTCCGTCTTCCCCGCTTTCTTCGTCCTTCTTCTTCCTGCCGTTCACCGTACTTCCGCCGCCGTCGTGCGCCCCATTCGACGACGAAACCCGCGATTATTGCTCGTCTCGCAAGCGTGGGCAAATTTCACGCTCTTTACGCGACGTTATCCTCTCTTGTACATCCCCTCTGGGAATTGAATGGCGCGCAGACTTAGACTTCCGCGCGCTTGTCCTCTCTTCCGCCAGCAGTCGAGGGAAACTTTAAACGTTTCACGTCTCGCTCGTGAGAGCGTGTCAGGTCGCGCAGCACCGGGTGGTTCTTTGTCCGCGATCATTCGTGCTCGTTAATGGGAGTTAAAGAGCCCCGTAGCGCTTTAACGGCCTCGTTATTTTTGTTTCTAAACCCGGTCTTCCTTTCGAGTTTCTCGTGCTCCAAACAATCTCAAATATGGCCGTCCTGGTTCTCTCGCTTTCCGTCTCCTTCCTCGATTTCAACCGCTATGGTCTCATCTATGGTCCCGTCTAAATTAATTCTCCGAGTCCACTCCGGATTCCTTAATCTTTCGTGAGCGTACATTTAATCCTTAGATGTGTGTGTGTGTGTTGTGGGTCAAAGTTTTCTTTTAGTATTTATGCGATTCAAAGTTTCTCAAACACTTGAAACAACTTATGCAACGCGAGAAAATGGCATGAAAATCTTTTATCAGCATAAATTATGTCCTCAGATATTTCCGAGAATACACATTTATATGAAAAATGAAATTTTTATGAAAACAATTGCATAATTGGATACGTGTTCATGTGCTACATTAAATAATGTTTCTCGGGTATCTATGCAATATGCAACGTTGAAATTGAAGTAGACCGCCTGGAACGAAATGGCGGAGATGTATTTGGAGTCTCTCGTCTCACCATGAGGAGCTCTAACTCGCTTCACTGTGAACAAATGTTAAGCCGCTTATGGTATGAATCTTATCCCCGGAGACTGATGTGCAATGGGCTTGGCTATTTAATAGGAAAAAAAGTAACGCTGTCGCGCTTTTATTCGTGTTCTCCTTGACAATACAACGAACCGTTCTATATCAGCGTCCTCGCTCCTCGAGACATTTAGACAATAATGTCGTGTCCCTGGTCTTGTTCTACTTTGATTTAACGAGCGAGTTTTGATAATATCAAAAAGAAACCTCTCCATTTCGCTTGATACTGATATTTCATGTGTGTTTACATCGATGTCATTTATAATTATATGTTATTATATATTTAAATTGTACGTATACTCTATTTTATTATTGATGTTGATTCGATACTTTCACGTAATTTCATTTGCGTTATGTTTGATGGTTGTTTTCTGTCGCTAATAAATATTACAAATAGATAAATATATTAAATTTGTCGAGACAGATTTTAATTTGGCATACGTCAAGTTTTGTATAATTTACGACGGGAAGATTTCGTTCGATGTTATCTGGACGAATATCGTTCCAAGCTTTCACATCCGTTTGCCAAAATTAACCGCCGTCGTCTTTGAAAATAAGTTTTCGTATCGCGTCGAATTCATGTGACATTGACGTAATTTGTAATACAAGATAAAGAGAAAGAGAGAATGTATACGACGACATTTGTAAATTATACAACTTTCCTAGATATATATGATCCACTGATCCGCGTCATTCCTACAAGACTTTCTTATCTTCTCGCTTACACCTTCCTTTACTCGCGCACCTTTGGAAAATTAATGCTACTCGCTTTATCATTCCGCATAAATAAGTATTATATATTAATTAATGCAAGATAACAAGAGGAAAAGATTGTTTTATTAAACAATATTTTAATAAATAAGAGGAAAGAGATAATTTTATCAAATAACAGTTAAATTATTTATATATCAAGGTAGATCAATAATCTTTTATCATCACACACACACACATTAGAATTCTGAAACAATCCGTTCAATTGGATAAATGATGGCCGTGTACCAACTTTTTCAACAAGGTCGAAAACACCGCCGAGGGATTACTCGTTTCTCGATCGGAGTAGACGAAAGTCGATCGGCCTGTTTGTTCACTGGCCCTTCACCTCATTTTCAGATACAATCCGAAGGATCCTACGCTTTTCATGGTGCATTGACCTGGCTGAGACGATGTTAACCTTATCGTCGGCGTCTCCAAAATTGCGCGTCTCTCATCATGGATTATATCGATAACCTGTAGAAAGATAAACTTTGCATGTGACTGATAAACTGTCGAAAATTGGCAAAAAGCATAGAACTCTCTGGCGAGCCGATTAGTCATTTTTTTATTGATGCCTCATTCCATTTCTCTCTTTATCTCTCGTTTTCGCGGATGTCTCTCTTTTGTCTCGCGACGCGCTGAAACTTTCAGATGCGCTAAATTGCTGTCTCTCCTGCGGGAGAACTCGCGGGTAGAATTACGGGCAGCGCGAGATACATGGCCCAAAAGGGCCATTAATAAAACGTCATTTACCCTTAAACGATTTCCCGGCTTTTCCGACTGCGCCCTCGGTAATTCCGTTATTAACGATAGGCGATGTATGGGATTCCAATTCTCGGTACTTTGAAAGTTGGCTAGAAGAAAATATCCTCGTTGTTGCATCCCCAGCTACTTGTCCGTGCTATCGTTTGCATGCAAAACTGGCGACGGTTTTTAAGTATGTGTGTGTCTGGAGTGTATGTGTGTGTCTGTGTGTGTGCGCGCAAAGGGGATTTCGGCTGGCTCAGGTACAAAGGGAGAAAAAAGTTTTGTAAAATATAAGCGTCACACGCAGCTGCAGGTGCATCGGACTGCATACAATGTCGCCTCCTACCCGCTCTCCTCCCTTGCTGCGAATATCTTCGCAACATGTTTACCGGAATTCTTCCCACGATTCCACGGCCGTTACAGGCAAAGTTTCTCTACCGGTTATATAATCCATGACAAGAAATGCATGGCTCCTATAGATTGATAATATTTTCGATAACAATAGCGGAAATGTGTTTCTCGTCGATGTTTCTCCCGTCTATTTCTCGACAAGCGCCGCCGAAAGAAAAACATTGACAAGCACTTTGTCGCGACGGGCAAAAATATCACGATGCATTCGAACGCGAGAGATTTTCTAATTTGCGAGAGAGGAATCGTTACGAGCGTTTCGCGAAATATAACGTCGTCGACGGGGTAACCGCGCCGTTAAGCATCTAAAACGCATTCGCCCTACATAAGGTAAACGAGCGCGCCGACTTTAATAATCAGTCGGGGCGTTTTGTAAATAAATATTTTCGCGCATCCTCCCTCGTTATCGCCACCTCGCGTACAGAGAATTTTTCCGTCGACGGGGCGACGTTTTATCCGGGTCGGATAATTGAGGGCGTTACGAAGCGTACGTGATTCCGGGATAATTGGATAACGCGCGGCGGGACGCGAAACTTTTGATGCACTTTGCGCGCCTCCGTCATGGCCCGCGTCCCTGCCGACCGTTTTGCGTTATCCTTCTTCTCCTCTCCCTCCGTTTCTTCCTCGCCTATTCATTTTCGCGGAAAGTTAATTTGTAGAAAGCTCGTGAAACACGTAGAATAAATACATTCTTCCGTTTTAACAGCGCGGCGGCTCGTGCAGGCATGCCATATCGGTGTCGTTTGTCATGTACGAAGCACGAGCAACGACGTTATCGCGTTCGCGATTAATACCCCTGACAAATCGAGGCGCAAAAAGGGAAAGAAACGGCGGAAGCGCGGCGCGGGTTCAAGAGAAAGATAGAAGTGTACGAGTGTGTGTAAGAGAGAGAGCGGGAGAAAATAAAAGAGAGAGAGAGATGATGTGTCCTGGTCTCGTTTCGCGAGAAATTATCGACGCGCGACCCACGCGCTTTGAAATTACGGCGCGTTTATAGGACAGTCGCGCGCGACGTGCTCTTCTTCCACAATTTTACCCAAGTTTTGCGCGAGTAAAATTGTATGTAGGGTAAAGTGCGCGGTAAAATCGAGCGAGCGTCTATTTTTGCGCGGAGATGCGGACGAAATCCGATAAAAACGCGGATGAAACTGGCTGATGCCTCGATGAAAGTCTCGAGCAAGATGTCACGCGTTTGTTACGTCCTATCTCTTCTGCGAGTACGTTGTCGGTGCCGGTTTCAAAGATATACATCGAGTATGCTCCATTTGATTCGCGTCCCTACCCGGCTTGTACCCTACTTTCTTCCATTACGCCTCCTCGAGCACATCGCGTCGTCCTTTTTCCGTAATTTCGCCGAAACGCGCGCGCGTCCCCGAGTAAATTGTGTCGTTGTGACGGAAACCGGGTCACTGTTACGCGGACGTTTATTCACGGGGAAACAAGTAGCAGGAAGGAACCGCCGCGAGCGCGATAAGACGCGATACCGAGACGTGGAAGTCGAGACTGTGGCACGCATAAAGGTTGCGAGGGAGGGGGAGTCAAAGCATGCCCCCGGAATCTTTTGGTAGCGCCGCTCTAATTGGGGCAGGTGTTAATTAAAGTGCGCTCTCGCGCTCGCGCTTAGGCGAAGACGACGACGTCGACGTCGACGTCGACGACGACGATGACGTCGTCGTCGCGACGCGGCGACCCGACGACGGACTTTGTTCGCGAAAATAATGATCTTTCCATTATCCGGCGCTGCGCTGTCCGTCCTTTCTCAATCCATTGTCCTCTTCATCGTCCACGTTATCGTCTTTATTGTCCTGCTCGACGCTTCGTATGCCCCCTCCTTTTTTCCATCGCGGCCGTATTCCGTAGAATAAACGGAAAGGCGCTCGATGAAAAATGCTCCGAAGATTACGAATAAAGGAGCTCGGGATTATTTTCGGCTGCACATCGCGCTATTTTTTGCCGTCATTAATTCATATCGCTCTCTTCCTCCCTCTCTCCTTGACGTTCGAGTTTGTCGTGCGCTGTAATTACCGTATGATTGGCGTAACCATTTATATCCATTTCTGCAATTGGTTAAGTGTCCGATACTGCCGACAAGAGTGTCATCGGCAAAATTAGGCCGGGTCTACAATAGATAATTTAAGCCCTAAGCCTTAAGAAATTGACACAGTCGACTATTCTCTTCATACTTGACTGTAATTGATCAATCTCTCAAGGTTTAAAGCTTTAATTACCTATTGTAGACCCGGCCTTAAGCGACTAATCGACGTAAGAAGCGCAATAAAACCGAGTGAAATGTCAAGTAATCCAACCAATTATATGATTGTTCAAAGTCGCGCCGTTTGTATATTTGTGTTGTGCTGTCATCGGCATGGCAACGCGCGGTGACAAGCTCGTGCTCATCAAAACGGCAATAATATACTTCCAAAGCAACGCTTGACAGTGCGAGATACAGGCGCGGACTCCTGTAATGTAATTCCCGTAATGAGATACGAAATGGTTAGGCTTGACATCGTATGACGTACCGGGCGTGAGCTGTCGGGTCTCGTATTCAAACTTTACGGGCTCATTTATTGTCGACTCGTACTACGGGTCGAGTCGTCGCACGGGTTCAATATTTTACGGCGAAATAGAAAGGAGCAAAACTTAGCTCGATATACGCCATTTCTCTCAGAATGCAACGTGCAAACGCGCGCTCGTATTTCGCTGAAAATTATGTATGTTAAAACTCGCGATCCATCAAAATCAATCATGCTGCTCTTAAAATTGAATAAGAGATTATAAAATATATAACGTAAGGAACACTCCCGATAAAAAGAGAAAGAAAGAGAGAGAAGAAAGTCTACGATTGCGTTTATTTGCGAGACTTTTTCACGATGACGTCTTATTATGCCAAGGGAAGAAAATATCGTTTCGTTCGCAGAGTCCCATCGGAGCTGTCCCGTTTGTCGCCGGCGCCGATCCGTCATCGGATAATACGATTCGATTAGAAATATCGCACTAATGAGACTCATACTGCATCCGAGAGATGATTAATGAAACCGCCGTCCCGATGGATCGAACTCTTCGACGAGTGTCATGTAAAAAGAGCCTCGTATCACTGCACCTGTCAAACAATGATGTAACGAGACGAAATTCAGTTTAGCACTTTTGTGGCTATTAAAACGATTCGAAAACCGCAGGGCTGTTGATTAGAGAAATGCATTTTCCCATCCGTAATCCGTCGGTCGATAGGAAAACTTGCGATTCGCGGCAACTTTCCCTGGGAAATTATGTGAGAATTTTAGAATTATACGCGAAGTTTGCTCGTTGCCCGGATAAAATGGGGCCCGGATAAAAAAAAGGAGGCTCGGCTCGACTTTCCGGATGCGCTTGTTGTTCTACCAGCCGGCACACGGTGACTCGATGCGAAGCTTAATTATCAAGCCTCACGCGAACTTCTCATTATCGTGTTCTCGAGCGTGTCGACGGGCGGGCGATTCGAAGACAACGATACGGCGCGGGGGTACATCGAGACTCATTAGTCTTAGTAAGGTTGAGCCTTACGGAAAATTAAGTGGACACCAGGCGCTGGATTAACCGATCGTCGACTTCTCGCGAGCAACGCTAACCGACGAAATCTAATAATCTCGTTGCTTGTAAAATCGCAATCACCTCGAAGATTCCTTAATCTTATTTAAAAGTTATGAGGGCTTAAGCCGCCGGGTTTACATTTCGCAGCTACTTTTACGCAATTTGCATAAACTGTAGGTTTACGATAGATAAGTTTCAATGTCGTTCATAAAGTCGTGCCCTTCGTCCTTTTGACACGCGCGCATGCAGGGTACCATCGAGTTTTTAACCCGGATTCCCGCAAAAACTGGCTCTATTCTTCTTTATAACCCAGTCGACCGTGCTGCAAGTCATTGTGAGTTCCGCTCAGATAAACCTCGGATAAACCTCGGATCGATGAGATCATTAACGACATCGGCATTGATGACTGTTGTCCGGGATTGATCGTTTAATGCGTCATTTGGATTAAAGTCACTCTTGTTATCCCGTTTCCGCTACGATTGGTGACGCGATACATCTGCAAGATTATGTTCTCAAGGATATCCGAACAGCTGTTCAATTGCTATAGTCATTAGGCTGTAGTCGGAAGTCATGGTGATTAAATGTTACCGACTATAAAACAAGAAATTGCAATCTTTATAAAGTCTAATTTTGCTCATGTTTTTCAGTGAAGTCTAGTATCTATTTTTATTATTTTATTAAAATTTTCGATATAAAACGTTTTAAGAAAGAGAGGAAAAATATCTTTTCTCCTTTCCCGGAAATTTAATTTC